AATGTTCGATCCCCCAGATCTTACTTTACGAATAAGTTTTAATTCTGACTTATTTAGTTACATTTTAGATACCCAGTCATATAAGTAATATGAAGAATACAAATGATTTCTGAATATAGATATATATATGTATTTATAAAAAATTATTTTACATTTATTTTAAATATTACTGTTTTTACTGTATTTTTATCAAATAAATGCAGCCTTGGTGAGCATAAGAGACTACTTACAAAAACATTTTAAAAAAATCTTAATTATTACAAACTTTTTGAGTATAAATAGGGAAATACTGATTTCATGTTGTCTTTAAACGTTTATCAGTGCCTTATAAAGTCTATGCCAGCAGGCCAACAGGTGCACGAGCTGCTGACACCCACTAATATCTGTTTGTGAGTGTGTGCACCACCGAATCCACACGTGCATTTACATATTTGAAAAAAAGAGCCCACATGCACCCAGTGTCACATTGAGATGTGTGCGGAGACAATAGGCCCAGCAGGTCACCGTGGAAACAAGCTTGAGAGGGTGGGGGGGGCAGCAGCTGTTGCATCAGATTAGTTAAGATTCGGGAGACCCTCCCCCTTTACCAACAGCACCTTCACACCCTCACTCGCTCTCTGTCGCTCCATTCTCTCATTCCTACCTTCACAGGATTCACCGCGGTGAGTGTCACTTCATATAAGGGTGACTCTGCAGTGAGGGACTACTTGAAGTGTCTTCGAAGTATGTTTCATCTAAACAGTACCTCACGTTTTGATCAAATCACAGCCTTGATAAACCCTAAAGTGGTCTTGTATGTTTTTAAAGGCAAAATGATCATTACAACACGAAAAACAAAGAACTTTTAAATAATGTTTTTACATCATTTCAACACAAGAAATTAATGTGTTAAAGGCAATATGAAAGCAAACTAAGCCTATTTACACTACCATGCAAAACCTGGGGGTCAGTAAGATTTTTAATTGTTTTGGAAACATTAAAAGTCACTTATGCACACCAAGGCTGCATTTATTTGATCAAAAATACAGTAAAAACAGTAATATTGTGAAATATTAAAATTTAAAAAAATCATTTAAAATTATTATTAATAGATTTTTTTTTTTTTCAGCAAGGATCCATTAAATTGATCAAAAGTGGCAGTAAATACATTTATAATATTACCAAAGATTCATATTTCAAATAAATGCTTTTCTTTTTAACTTTCTATTCATCAAAAAATCCTGAAAAAATGTATCATGGCACAAAAGTATTATGCAGCATGACTGTTTTCAACATTGACAATAATAAAAAATGCGTCTTGAGCAGCAAATCAGCATATTAGAATTATTTCTGAAGGATCATGTGACACTGAAGACTGGAGTAATGATGCTGAAAATTCATATTTAACTTATATTAAACTTATATTTAAAATATAAGTTCAAATAGAAAACAGCTATTTAAAATTGTAATAATAATTCACAATATAACTGTTTTTACTGTATTTTTTTTTATTAAAAATTCACCCATAAACATTTTACAGGAAACGGTCCCAACGGTCCCCTTTTTACTTGTTGTTCCAATAATTCTGGTTAGTCTAGAACAAATTTATAGGACACCCACTTCTAAAACTTCCCTTTGTACTGCGTATCTTACTCTTTCACCTCTTTTGAAAGGCCGTCCCCTTCTCGTGCCCTCGACCCACAGGAGGTGACACGGCCTCCCTCACTCATCTCCTGCCTCTACTCGTACGCTCTTCTCTTTCTTTAGTCTCTGTTGACTACTATTCAGCTCAGCAAGCCACTCTCACACAAAAGAAAAAGCTTTTTTTCTTGCTACACAAGGACTCCATCTTCAATTCTTTACCACCGACACCAAATTTGACAGTAACAAATGGAACAAGTGGAGACAGGCGGAGAATAAAAGAGATATCATGTGTGCATCAAAACACACAGACAAATTTATGTGACCTTTTCGAAAATTTTAAATGTCAAAGAACGCACCGGCATCAAGAGCACATTGTTGGGTGACACTACTGTATTTTTCTGGTTCTTTTAAAAGTTGTACTATGTAAACATACTCTAACATTCACAGCCATTTATAGAAGCTAAGATGCTACTGACATCACAACCACAAGCTCATTAACATATGACCGCCCATATTTAAAAAACACCTATTCGGTATTCAGAAACTTGACCTGCCTATCTGGCCAAAAGTATGACTGTCATATGTAAGTCTTAAAGGTACAGCAGCAAAAACTGACTGTTTCAATGTGTTACTTGCAGTTTCTGTAATTGTTTGTGAAATTTGCTAGCAATTTCTGAGTGAAAATTGCTTTTGAAACCTTCTCAGTGTGGTAATGAAAAACTAGATTCAATTATGAAAGAAATTCATGCTAGTGTAGAATATGCCCCTTGAACTCACCTTTCCAAATTGATCGAAATACTGTTTCACATCTTCGATGGTGGTGTTGACAGACAATCCTCCAACAAAGATCTTCTTTGTTCTTGTTACCAGCTGAAAACACCAGAAAAAAGGCAAATAATGAGACGATGAAATAATCAAGTGCATCAACACGATTTTCAACAAGAAAACTAGGGTGCTATTTAAATACACATGAAGAGTTTGGTTCCAAAACGTGATAAACGCCTTTTTTTTTTTATTATTGAGTTTCCGCCAAAATCAGTATTGTATCTGGTCGGTATTGAAAAGTCAATTTTTTATTTTACTCAAAATGTGATATCCGCCGAGTTATTCTGTCATGTTTTCTCCCTTTTTTTCCAAACCGCGACAAACGCCAGTCTCCCTTTTCTGCAGACTGCGATATATATGTATTTTTAGTCCAGTGCCTGTATATAAGATTAGTATTGACCAAGTTCAGAGGCTGTCATATGTGGATCAACTTGCTATGTTGTGTATTTTCAACAGTTTCAATATGAAAAATAACTTTTTTTATATTATATTATATTATATTGATTCAATGGATTTATTGCATTTTGGAAAGAAAAAAAAACGTGTCATGGATTTATTGCATTTTGGGAAACAAATAATAAAATTTTATAATAAATCTTTGAAAATCAAAATCTGGATTTGAATTTTTGATGTTATTATAACCTAAAGATGCTATGTGAAAGTTTGAAACAGAAAATAGTGGTTTTCATCTTGCCAC